GTACCTGATGCCAATATGGCTGGTACAAACAGGATCTATTCCCAGCCTATGTAAGTTCCAAGGATTGTTCCCTCTTTTGGTACTTCTTTCCCCCAGACTCATTAGTATTCCCATATGTATGCTTGATTATTAACTAGTTTAAAATTTGGAAGAGATCCTGTGCTGATCTCTGGAGTACTCTTCTTACTGCAGCTCTCCCCTCACTGGTTTTCTGCTCTGCAATCTCACACCATCTTGGTCTCCTCAAGCTCCCAGCTCCATCTTCTCAGCTCATGGAGACCACCAGGCTACCTAGACAGGCGACCTATTACATGCACGGCTCGTGTCATTTGTTTCTCCTCTTTCAGGGGTCACTCTCCTTCAGTGTCTGATGTACAGTACTTATAAAACCTTTATATCATATATTCTGTCCAGTTTTTTTATTTGTTTAGATAGGTGCATATTTCTAGTTCCAGTTATTCCATATTGTCTAGAAGCAGAAGTCCTGGAAGATCTTCACACCAGGAATGAAAACAGGTTTTGTGCCAGCTCAGATGGACTAACAGTGGCTATTGGGACCATAATAAAGATTATAAGGTCATCTCTGTGTAACAGGTAAACAGCAGCATGTACATCAGCTGTTTACTTACAACTCTGAATTGCACTAGAGTAGATCTTAAAATTCTATGATTACAAAGTAGATATAGCAAATGACTTTCCACTAATGAGAACTCAAAGATATTTTTAAAAATTGCAGGGACTGCAGCCCCAAGATTGTATGGCATAGAGCAGTGGCAGTGTAAGTAATGAGACAGATATTTAAATAACTGTGGCATAATCACAGGTGAAGACCTTTAGGAAGTCTTCCATGTGCAGGTGATAGTAAACAATGCAAGCTTCTCAGAATGAGTAGAAGGACAAAGAGAATGGTGGAAAGAAAAGACAAAGAGAGGAATTAGAACTTGAAAGGCATCTAGTGACTTGGAGAGAAATAAGGAGAAGCCAACAAAGAATGAAAGGGAAAAAGAGAAACAAGAGGAAATAATGAGCAGCAACAGAAAAGGTTTAGTAAGGGACAAAGAGAAAAATAATATTAATAAAAGGGAATGTAATAGCCAGATCAGAAAAGCAGAGATTCATTAATATCCATTGCCAAAGCTGAAAAGTGATAATGATTTTATCCATTTTATAGAAAAGGGATAGATCTCAAGAAGATTCCAAATCTACCTTTGTACATTTACTTAGCAAAAAGATAGAGTTAAGGAAAATAATAAAGTAGGCCTGAATACCAACATTTTAGAAAGAAGTGGGAGAAGCTACTCAGATGCACCCTAGGCTTTATCTTAATATAAGGAGTATTGAGGAAGAATTGTAACATTTCTTAAAAGATACAGCCTATCAAATAAGACTGAAATAGAAATTATAAGCATCGTAGTTTGGGGTGACATTGTTTAAGCTCAGGTTCACAAAAAAGAAATAATATTCAATTATGATAAGAAAAACTATATTCTAAAATGTGCATTGCTCAAAACTATGGTTACTAGATCCTCCCATGTCCAAGACCAAGGCTATATTAAGTGCTGCTTCTTAAGATGAGGAAATGGAGTAACAGATACACATCAGTGAAATATCTCAATCTAAACAGAACAAGTGAAAAACCTTAAAAGAATCCACCATGAAAAACATGTAATGAATTCCAAAATGAATGTAAAAATGCATTTATCTTTGAGGCAAAGCAAGAAAGAAAATGGTGGGAAAAAACAGGAAAAAATTCACCTTGTAAATAGAGCAATTTCGTTTCGAGGAAATGGCAGACGTTGAAAAAAAACCACATAAGCCAAGGCATTCTTCTGAAGAGCTGTGAATTTAATAAAACTATAAGCAAAACCCATAACAAGCAACTTGAGCCAGATGGCAACCAATGCAAAGAAGAAACAGAACAAGTCTCTCAAAGTCAAATGAATGCCTCATGAAGAATGAACTGCTGCCATCTCCATCACAACATCTGGAGATGAGGGTTTTTTTAAAAAAACTTATTTTGAGAGCAAATAAAATTTTCTGTTTACCTGACACTGTGGCTACTCACAGGAAAAGCAAATAGTTTCCCATCATCTCTACTATATTTGTGCTCTGCATGTCAGATTAAGAGCTGATGAGGGTTAGTCACAGAAACAAGGACATCTAAAGCAAACACTTTTTTAGCTATCTCAAGTTTTTCCTGTTTTTCTTTCTTTAAAAAACTATGGAGCCAGACTTGTTAGCTATATGACTTGTGTAAGCTACTCTTTCTCTCTATCTGGGGCTCCTCCTCTATAAAAGAGATAATAACTTCATTGAGTTATTACCTGGCTCACAGTATGTGCCATATAAATATGTGTTATAAAAATATATTTATTCACTCCTCTACTGATGGGACACTTGAGCCATTTCCAAATTTTGTCTATTGTAAATAGCGCTGCAATAAACACAGGGGTGCAAATATTCTTTTGAATTATTGTTTTGGGTTTCTTTGGGTGGGGAGATTGAGCAAAACAGAAAAAAAAAAGAAAAACTCATGGACAAAGACAGCAGTGTGGTGACTGCTGGGGGCAGCGTGGGGTGGAGGGAGGTAGAGGAGAGTATAGGTAGGATAAATGGTGATGGATGAAGATTAAAAACTATATAAATAAATAAAAATTATATAATTTTTATTAAAAAATATTTATTAAGTCAAACCCTACGTTAGGCTCTGAGTGTACAAAGACCAATGTATCAGGATGGGGAGATTGATGAATAAACAATCATTACACAAGACGAAGAGAGGTGCTATGCCAGAGATGAGCAGTCTACTTGTACGCACACAAAGAGGACATTTAACTTAATTACGTTCTCATTTAGGCTGAGTCTTCACAATGATGGCCTTCCTAAATGGCATTAGACTTGGCCAAATTCACCCAATTCCCAAAGGAAAGAAGAGAAGATCCTTACCTTTGCTCAGCAAAGAGAAAGTTGTCACAAAGAACAAATCAGCACAGAAAAAAAGGTGACATTCTCTACTTGGTATCAAAATGAAACTTATTTTCCCTCTAAAGGTTCAAATGGCAGAGCCTACAGGTGATTGTAAACTCTCAATTCATTTTCATTGTACAGAAGACATAATCAAAAACTTGAACACCAGGTACTTCTTGAAAATATGGTTTTTAAATTTTCTCATCAAGTCAAAATGAAAATTCAAAAGTATCTCCTTTTGAGGGTATACTATTGTCTCCATACATTTGGCCAACATCTTCATTTTAGTATTTGTGATTTTTGAAGTTTTGCCCCTCAGAGTTAAGGTTAAGGAAGGCAGTATTAACTATGATTGGTCTCTAGTGAAACCGCCAAGATTCACTAGCTTAAACAAAACACTAATCCCTGAGAAAGTTTTCTTTTCCCCCAGTTTCCAAAGTAGATAGAAAAAATATTAGGCTCCTTTATCTAGATGTCTTCAGAGTCCCCTACTGATGATTTCTTGACTCTCTATCTATATCCTTAAGGTCATAAGACTATACTGGCCACTAAAGGCCCCCCCCCGCCTCCCTTCCCATACCCTTACCAATGGACTGCCCTTCACTTTTGCGGCCTCTAACACACCTATATCACGCAAAGGAAGGAAGTGAAAACATAAAACAAAGGACAAAAATTTGATCTTCACCCTGCAATTTTCTCTAGCCCGCCCAAGAGAGCAATAGGAAAGGGCCACTATAAAAACTGCCTGCTATTTTCAAAGTGGCAGGAAAAACCCAGATAAACAATAAAGATTAACTGTTCCTCTACATCATTTTAGAGCCTAGGTTTTCAGAAAACAGAATAAAAGAAAGTATTTCAAATGAGAACAAATAAAGCATTCATAGTTTGGCCATTTTTTATAAATGTTGCTACTTTAAAAGAAAAGCATATTTTAAAAATCTAAGTATTACCACATCTCAGCAAAATTATTATTTCTTTTTAAAATAACTTTTCCATATGTCTAAATTTTAAATTCAAAACTGAAGTCTTCTTGGCCAAAACTCTTAACCCATCTGACAGTCGTCTCTAGGTTGAAGAGCAATGGTGTTCTTTAGAAGGGTTGCAAAAAGCCATTCAAGATCTGATTATAATTCAAAGGGGGAGGATGACACTTGAGTATATCCATGCTTTAATACTTAATATGAATGACTCTGACTACTACACAGTTTTTTCCTAAAATGTTTTAAATATATAAGGCTTATCTTCATCCATTTGGAGACTTAAACTCATGTGGATAAGAAAATGAAATAAAGTATCACTTGCTAGAGGGCAAGAAGTAAGTCTTTAAAGCTTGTTTCATATCACAACTGGCAAGATTCTGAACCTTCATTTAATTATATAATACATACCATTTGATAATATGTGTGTAAATGTTTACCTACAAACACTCTCATATATATTTATGTGATTAATACATATATACACAAACATAAAATCATGCAAAATACTTTAATGTTATCCAATTAAAGCTTTTGTAAGTTTCCAAGTCACTTTTATTATTCTAAAAATGAAAGCATGAGTTAAGAAAGATTAGAGCTTTCCATACGGACAGCGAGTAACAAACAGCCCACCTGATCTTCATTAAGCAACAGAGCAGTGAGTCTGCTTTACCATTTCTGCTGTGCTTTCATACAACCAGGAGCTTCCCCACTGACCCCACAGCCTGCTTTAAGGAATCATTCCTGACCTCTGGGCCCCAGGAACAGGAGAGGGAAGGGAAAAAGGGAAGTAAAGGACACCAGCTAAATCACACACTGTATTTCCATGTTTTAAGACAATATTAGAGGGTGGGGCAAAGGTAGGTTTACAGTTGTGAGTACCCAAAACAGAGTTTATTTGTGTATTAATCATTGTATTGCTTTCCACACAAACAATTGTAAACCTATCTTTACTCCACTCTGTATATACTGGGAGACAAAGTAAAAGGCAAATGATTCTTCTGACATCTTGCTGATCCATTACAGACAAGAAAGGGTAAGAACAAAGATGCTTACCTTTTGTTCCTGCATTCTAGCAGCATCAAGTTCTGAGAGAGACATGGTGAGCTTCTCTTGCTGTTCTGATAGATATTTCTGATAGAGGCTTAGAAGTTCTTGGCATTCTCTATACTGTAGCTGAAGAGGTGAAATTGCAAATTAAGGGGGAAAAAACTAATAAATGGATTCAAAGTGCATCCATGAGTGCTGCTTTTCAGATTCCAATAAGCAAAATACAGAAACTCAACCATATTAGGTGAGAGTGCAGGTAAGTATAGTCTCCAGATGAACACAGTAAATGTACCCCCTCCCCAAATGAAATAATAATTCACAAAGAGTAGCAATGAGTATTTCATTTGAAGAGACATTTCTATCTAAATAGTTAAATTTGAATAAACAAAGACAAACACAAACACATGCAAAAAAAAAAAAAAAAAAAAAGGTTGGATACCTCACACCACGTACAAAACTAACTTGAAATGGATCACTGACCTAAATATAAGAGCCAAAACTATAAAACTCGTAAAAGTAAATCTTTGTGAGTTTAGATTAGGTAATGATCACTTAAAAAACAGCAACCAAAGAATAAACAAATAAATTGGACTTCAGAATTAAAAAGTTCGCTTCAAAGGAAGAAATTAAAAAGACAACCTCCAGAATGAGAGAAAATAGTTGCAAATCATGTATATAAGGGGCTGGTATTCAGAATATAAGAAGGACCTTACATGAATCAACAACAAAAGCTACTAACCTAATTAAAAATGGGCAAAGAACTTGAATAGACATTTCCCAATAGAAAATATACAAATGGCCAAGCAGCACAAAAAAAGATGCTTGACATCACTAGCAATTAGGGAAATGCAAATCAAACCCATAATGAGGATACCACTTTGCATCTACTAGGATAACTATAATAAAAAAGGTTGACAATAATACACTTACAAGAATATGGAAATATCAGAACCCTCCTATATAGCTGATGGGAAGATAAAATAGTGCTGCTGCTTTGGAAAATAATTTAGCAGTACCTCAAAAAGTTATACATAAAGTTACCATATGACTCAGCAATTCCACTTCTAGGTATATACCCAAGAGAATTGAAAATATATGCCCATGTAAAATCTTGTACATGCATATTCAGAGCAGCATTATTCGTATTAGTAAAAAAGTAAAAGTGTCTAAATGTCCACCAAGTGATAAATAGATAAACAAAATGTGGTATATCTATGCAATAGAGTATTTTTCAGCCATAAAAATAACACAACACCAAAGTATTGCTACATGCTATTATGTGAATGAACCTTGAATACATTATGCTAAAGAAACCACACACAAAATACTACATTTTATATGGTTTCATTTCCATGAAGCTCTTGCTATTCTTTTTGTTTGTTTTAAATACCTCTTCCAATGTGCTAGGTGAAAGAATAGTACTCAATTCTAAGTGTACCAGATCGCAATAACAGTTGCATTCATCCATGTCCACTTTCTATTCTCTTCTCCAATTTTCTTAAGTACCTATTATATAAGAAAAGCTAAAGGGAGGAAAGAGAAATGTTCAGGATAGGCAAATCCATACAGACAGGAAGTACATTAGTGGCTATGAGGGTTTGGGGAGGAAAATAGGAAGCAACTGCTAATGGTTATGAGTTTTATGGGGGAGGTAATAAACATATCTGGAAGCAGATGTAGTCTTTAGGAACATACTCATAACCACTGAATCATATACTGCAAAAGGGTGAATTTTATTATATGTGAATTATATCTCAATAAAGCTGTTACCAAAGAAAAAAAATTAAAACAAAATACAAATGCAGGGTAGAAGTAATTATTCTGATAAAAATAATTACTGCCTAATTTACAAAGTTCTGACTACATTAAACATAAAGGGATATAATTAGATTTTTGCCTTGTTTGTTTGGTTTTGTATAATGTTAGTTAAGTCAGTGTTTCAATAATAAAATGATCACAAGAACAATTTCTGTCTATATACCTCCTTTCATTTTTTACAGCAAAGTATGAAGAACATAGCAACCTAATCTGGGTTACCCTCTCCGACAACTCCTCAAACTTGCAAAGTGCTAAGGATGAAGATAATAAATGGAAAAGGTCACCTAACTGTACAGATCAGGTGTCTGGGAGACAGAGAGTTCTATCCAAGAGAGCCTGTTCCTCACTTCTCATTGTGGTGATTTCCTCCCAAGGCCCATTTTTCTCTCATATCATTTCTGAATCTCACCCTTACACTTAATTATGTATGCTGTTGGGATAAAAATTACTGTCCAATGAGATGATTCTGTATAAATACTTTTACAACAGGTCATCATGATTAAAGTGGGAATAGTATTTCTTAAATGTCAAAAATAGTGATAGGTTTCAGTATTTCATAACATTTTCATAACCTAATCATTGCTTCTGGGCAGATTCCCGTTCTAATAACCTTTGTCAATCATGACTGCATAAATAACCATTTGCTTCGTTATTCTCATTATTAATCTTTAACCAAAAAAAAGGAGCCAGAAATGGCTTGTAGAAGAGGAACTGGTTCCTAATGAAAGGAGAAGTTACTAAGCTCAAAGAATACATTCATTAGAAGACCTTGTTGAATACCTGGCATCTTAAAAACAACAGCAACAATAGAATGAACAGTGGTCTAAATAAGATATTTTTTTTGAAGTCAACCTGTATCAGACCAGGCTGGTTTTATATTTCCATGCTTTTAGAGACAGAGGAAGGGAGAGGAAAAGAGAGAGAAACATCAACATCAATAGGCTCTCCTGCATGTTCTTCACTGGGGCTCTAGTCCGCAACCCAGGCATGTGCCCTGAACAGGAATCAAACAGGCAACCTTTCGGTGCACAGGACAACACCCAACCCACTGAACCACACTGGCTAGGGCTACATTTTCATGCTTTTAGTCAGCAAGCTCCAAAAGATAGGAATGATTTGTGGTGGTCCCAAGAGTCTCTGCCAACTATGACGTATATAAAATTTTTTTTATTCTAGATGTTATCATAGGCAGTAATGTTTATAGTAGGTGAACATATTACCCTGGACGCAGAATATGTATTTTATTCTCTAAGGAGCTATCACAATTATATAGCCTAAGATTTAGATGTCAGCATTTTAAGACAAATTACAGGTATACCTCATTTTATTGCACCTTACTTTATTGATTTTTCAAATTGAAGGTTTGCAGGAACCCTATGTTGAGCAAGTCTATCAGTGCCATTGTTTTCCAACAGCATTTGCTCACTTCGTGTCTCTGTGAGCAAATTCTCCCAAGATTTTAACCTTTTTCATTATTATATTTGCTCTGGTGATCTGTGATCAGTGATCTTTGATGTTACTGTTGTAATTGTTTGGGGGCACCATGAACTGCTGTTCCCACATAAAAAGGCAAACTCAATAAATGTATGTGTTCTGAGTGCTCCACTGACAAGTGGTTTTCCTGTCTCTTTCCCTCTCCTCGGGCTTCCCTATTCTGAGACAAAACAATATTAAAATGAGGCCCCTAAGTGTTCAGGTAAAGACAGACTTGCACATCTCCAACTTTATAACAAAAGCTAGAAATGACTAAGCTTAGTGAGGAAGGCATGTAGTAAATTGAGATAGGCTGAGGCAAAGAATGAAAAGAAGAAGTTCTTGAAGGAAATTAAAAGTGCTACTACAATGAACACATGAATGATGAGAAAGTGAAACAGCCTTACTGCTAATGTGATACATTTTAGTGGTCTGGATAGAAGACCAAGGCGGCAACGTTCCTTAAGCCAAAGAGCCTAACCCAGAGCAGGGCCCTAACTCTCTTCAATTCTCTGAAAGCTGAGAGAATCGATTTTTAATGTAGACAATACAGCCTTATATTGGAAGAAGATGCCATTTAGGACTTTCATAGCTAGAGAGAAATCAATGCCTGGCTTCAAAACTTCAAAGGACAGGCTGCCTCTTTTGTTAGGGACTAACGCATCTGGTGACTTTAAGTTGAAGCCAATGTTCTCTTACCATTCCGAAAATCCTAGGGCCCTTAAGAAGATAGAAACAACCGAAGTGTCCTTCAGTAGATGATTGGATAAAGAAGATGTGGTACATGTACACAATGGAATACTACTCAGCTACAAGAAAAGATGAAATATTGCCCTTTGCAACAGCATGAATGGACCTTGAGAATATCATGCTAAGTTAAGTAAGTCAGAAAGAAAAAGTTAAGAACCATGATTTCACTCACATAAGATATAAAACTGGAAACAAATGAACAAATAAGGAAAACAAACAAAAATGCATAGACACAGACAACAATATGGTGGTTACCAGAGGGAAGGGGGGTAGCAGGGTTCTAAGGGGTACAGGGGGATCAAATATATGGTGACAGAAGATGATTTGACTTTGGGCACACTATACAATATAAAGATCATGTATTATAGAGGTATACACCTGCAACCTATATAATCTTATTAACCAATGATACCCCAATACATTTAATAATAAAAAAAGAATTATGCTAAATCTACTCTGCTTGTGCTCTGTAAATGAAACCACAAAGCCTAGATGACAGCCCATCTGTTTACAACATGGTGTACTAAATATTTTAAGCCCACTGTTGAGACCTACTACTGAATTCCTTAGCCTACATAACAGGAGCTCAATAAATATTCATGAGACAGGTACATTTACTGAATATATTAACACCTGAGATTGTGCTAGATGCTAGACCTACAATGATAAGCAAGACCAATACCAGCTCCGGTAATGAGTTTACCATCCAGCAATGAGGGCAGGTAACGAAACACATACTTATAATAACATATAATGAAAGCAGTGGCAAGAACATTATGTAGTGCTATGCTAGCACTTCCAAAGAGGACTTAAATGACTGAGGAATCACTGAAAGACTCTTGCAGAAAAAAATGTTCAAACTGAGAGTAGAGGCCAAAGTAACCACACATGTAAAGGGTGGGCAAATAAAAATGAATCAATAAAAAGATGCAGTCAACTGTCTTTAATGCTGCAGAGGCAACACTGGTTAAAGAGTGAGAGTTGAGGAGGCTATTGATGGCCTTTGCCAAAACACAAGTGTGACATTACTTAGGTGTTCACCATTTCCCCCCGTTTTGATAGACAGAAGTTATGCTATTTTCACATCAAAGAA